AATGCGTTTTTCTCAAAATGCACTTTTCCACATTCGCCACTACGTTATATAAGGGACGAATTAATGATAGGTCTAGGCTACCTACCGATATGGTGTATTTAGGCCGATGTCGTTTCGAGGTGGTCTGTGAATTGTTGTCAAGTTAAAATGTTTGCATTAGTCACCCTCTCCAAATATGGTAAATAAATAAATATAAACATACACTATTTCGACAAATCTTGACATGCAGGCCCCTATCCCTTATGCCTGAGAATGAAAATATATCAGTGGCCATGATGGACCAATGGACTTTCTGCTTCTTTTAAATACTTTAAAATATTAAAATTTAGGGGGATACAGATAAAATTGTTTAATAAAAATCAAAATGTTATTTTTATTGCAAACATTCCGTTTTCTCACAGTAGAAAGTCAGACAGAATCATTCTTGACAATAACAATGAATGGAAAGGGAAAGCGTGGCACATATAGACACAAAGTACGGGACATCGTAAAAAGAAAACTGAAGAGGGAATTATTCATCATATTATTCCATTTCGTCAAAATTATTATAGGCTAAGGAACATCATTGATTGTATGCATTCAGAATGGCCATAAAAATCGATAAATTTCGCATCCTGAGAGAAAAGGGCATACCCCGTAGTTACCAGCCGTCTCGCATCGTGCGGGACGGTCCCGCATTTCGTGATTTTGGATGAAACACGCACTTTGCAGAAACACATGCGTGATCATAAATTTGTCAGGCATTTAGCACAGTCTATGCGTGATAACGAATTATCACGTATTCAGGGGAAAATATATTTAAAATTAGAAGAAATTGGTTTTATGACAAATACAAAAACGGCATACAGTAATTTGAGTCACTGAGTTAGAGAGTTTTCGTTATCTCGTTCGAGAATCAATTCAAAGAGATCTGTCGGAGCACAGGGGATTTTCATCCAGGACCACGCCCCTGGGACCATGCTCATGGGACCACGCCCGGGTCCCACCCCCAGTCAAGCGGTGTTGTCACTCACGCATTTCAAATCTCTCAGGTTGGTAACTATGAAAAATGTTGGGCAATAGGTCTATGTATAAGCGCATGAAAGTTGATCAAGCCAGAATGCATGTCTTAATTTTATCTTATTTTAGGTAGGAGATACCCTCTCAAAGCCACTACCGCTTGGTCCTCCCCATCTCGATGGTCACTATCGTGGACACCTCTCCCTCAATAATTCCTAGATCCACCACTGGTATGGTCGATTGTAAAATAAAATTAATACGCGAGCTTTAGCCTACCTGTACACAAAATTCCAACTTGAGTACCATTTGGTGCTTTCAGTTAAATATTTTTTCTCTCCCCCACCCCACTCATTTATTTTCTTATCTCGTACCGGTATCTCCTCATATGTGTGTAGGCCCTATTTGGAAGGTGGTATCCAGAGACCTCAGTTGAGAGCTAAACGCATATCGTAAAACATCGAATTGAAGCCCTGGGCTTCTTATATTTATTTATTTGCTATTTACTTTAGATGGGCTTCTTGTCGAGGCTACTTCTGCAAAGTAAAGAGGATGATTCTTTTCAAAATGAATGCTGTAAATTTTGGTAATTACTACTATAAAACAATAAATAGGTCCACTGTGACATCCATCTGTAACATGGAGTGTATCAACCGGCATTAAATCACCTAAACTACTGTATAAAACCAATCGTGTTTTTAATTAATTTTGTTTCTTTGAAATTCATATTCGAAAAAAGCCCATACTACCTTGAAAAAATGCCAAGAGATGGGCTTCTTTTCGAGGCTACTTTTGCAAACCTAAAGAGGGGGCTTCAATGGACCTTTCCGCTAAGCCCCGCCCATTGGATATTGTTGCTAAAGTCCCACAAGACGACAATGTTAAAACATACGCAAACACGTGCGTTTGTGGTACAACACGTGTTTGTGAGACGCGCGCGTATTCCTAGCGTTGTTCTGATTAGTCAGTTGTTAAGTTTGATTGACACTCCGGAAAGGTCTATAGAGACGGGCTTCTTCTTGAGATTACGCACATTGAGCTTCTATTCGAGGTTTTACAGTACTGGCAATAAATTGTATATTTCATGTTCATATACTGTACTGTTTCTTCTTTCAACAATTTTACTTTTATTCAATCATGCTTATAATCAATAAAAGGTTTAGGTCTAACTGTGGACAGTTCGACATCAGGTTAGCAGTGCAGGGGTGGAGTTAGAGGAGGGGGTGGCCCAGCCCCGGTTCCCTTTTTTGAGGAGTTTAAAAAAAAAAAAAAAAAAAACGAAAAAAAAAGAAAAAAATGATAGACCAGAACGCCTCAAATGTTATTTTCGATCGTCTAGAACACAAAAATTTGGAGGGGGCATGCCCCGGACCCCCTATGATGGTGTTGTCTCGTCCGGCCCAACTTTTGGCCCCACCCGCCTTTTGGACATCTCTGGATCCGCCCCTGCAGTGTACTGCATGAGAATAAGGATGGTGAAAACGTTATCAGACGATGAGGGCAGCATTACAAATAACAACACATAGGTAGGATAAGACAAAACTTTATTGTCAAAATATTAGAATTCAAAAGAGAATTCGTTCATTATTGATAGATTACAACCTCAGTCCAGGTTATCAAATGTCTTATTACAAACAACTGTTGTATGCCCATATATGGTCATGATATCCCTATATATGGTCATCATGACCATATTGAGGCATGTCACATGTTATTTTTTCAAATAAAATTTGATAATTTGTACACAAGGCATCTTTACATTTGAATTGTCTGCCAACATATTTCATTGACAAACAGGCCTTCACCACTGAAAAAAATTATACAAACAATGAATAAAAATTTAAATGAATGAAGAAAATTAAAAACTATCTCAATAAACAAAAACATTAATTAAATAAAGACAACTATATCATATCTAAAATTAATATCAATATTTAAAAGAATTCTAAATACTGTATATGATTTGATTAAAACACATAGAAGTAGTGT